ATGCGGTAATGTGTCACGGCTGTACCCGTCGCGAGCCTTAATTAACCCGTCACCACAGAGCGCTCCTCCACAATCCACCACCTGGCCACTCCAGCACGGCGTTCCACATCTCCCGGCTGTGCCTGCGTACAATTGAGAGGACGTCCATTTGGAAGAAGTGTATGTAGCTGGACACTTTTGACTGATGATCACCAATCAATGTGATGCTCAGTATAGCTCTCTGACCGGGACTTCCTTGGCAGGTTGTAACTGGGCTTGGCTAACCGATGATGGCTAATTATAACGAAGCCATATATAACACCCTAGGCTGGGTATGACGCCCCGTTAGTTGGCCTCCACGCGAACTAATATATGGGCTCAATTAGGGAGTCCCTGCCGTTCCTTAGTGTGAGCGCTTCGCACCTGGTGTGCTGGGAGACAGACGCTGAGCGCAACACGTTCGGCTGTCGGGTGTGGGTGGGTAGCCCCACAAAGACAAACATCCCCCGTATAGGCTTAACATAATGTTGGGGCAAGTGCTGTTATCAAGCAGCACCTATGAAGGCCGGCACGGCACGCGAGGCTTGGAGTAGGGCATGTCGGCGTCAGGCACTACCACGATACTTCAAGGAACGCTTATGTCGCACGTACACCCCCGAATCCAAATCCACTTACTCTTACTATAACCAGTCTTCCTCCAGTTCGCCTAAACTCCACATCCAAGTCTTAATGTTATATCAGCCACCCGGATAATATTTTCCACACCCGGCGCACCACATCTTGTTATTCCACTCTGTATGACCAGTGCTCATATTTACGTGCCACCTCCAGGTCTATCAGCGAGCTCACCAAAAGCGGTGTTTGTGTGTGTGTGTGTTCTGGATTGTTTTGTGTGTGTGGCTGTGTTGGTGGAGAGAAGTGGGGGGGGGGGGGGGGGGTTAGTGGGAGCAATGATTGTTCACGGGGCCTCCTTCCAAACCAAACGAAAGGGTAAACAGTGCCACATAATGCGTGTGCCCACAGCGTTTCCCGTGCAGCACAATGGGAGCTTCCAGAGCGGCACGGGGGAAGCTGGGCCGCCTCGCTTAGGTGAGGGGGCAGAGGTGGTGGGGGCGAGGGGGCAAAGGTAGTGGGGGTAAGGTGGGGGGGGGGGAAGAAACACTGACGCCGCTCCGTCCGGGTCAACTACCCACGAGTCTTCACCCGGCACACAACGTCCAGTATGCCTCTCTCCGTATGGATGTGGCCGTACTAGTTACGCGCATACTTCAGTATACCAGCAGCCTGCAAGATATTCCGTGAGAATGTAAGCCCTGGTGGTGGGGGATGGGTATATGGGAGGTGGGGAGGGTGTATCAGTTCCTACCGTGCGTTGGCCCCACGCGAGATTGACGAGCGGTGGTGTGAGACCGTGGTATGGAAGCAGGGCCGTCCATAGGGGTGAAGGGGGGTCCCCCACTGACGCCTTCAAACTGAACCGGAACTATTACATTTGACACCGTGACGTTGAAAGTGCGGGGCCCCCTCAAAGCGTGGGGCCCGGGTCGGTCGCCCCGATTTGCCGGGAGGAGTGGGTGGGTACCGTCCAATGGTGTAGTTTTTGAGTGTGCAGGCGGTGTCCCTGCACTAAGGTCACTGGGGTCAATAGGCCGATAGGAGGTAGGGGGGCAGGCATCGGGCTATGAAAAGGGGGTCAGATTTGGATAAAGAGAAAGGGAGTGAGTGTATGACCAGTTCAGATGTCGTTTGCCATTGATTTTAGCCGTGGCAGAGAATAGAACTCGGGTGGCCCGGTCCATAGCACTGTGCATCTGCCAACCACTAACCATGACATTAGATGTGGCCGCCACCGTGGTCAGCGGCACTCACACTCCACACAGATAGATTAAATCATCAATTGCTGCACTGCATAATTCCTGCGGCGCCGCCCCACCTCGCAGGCCGTGTTGACAACACCTAGTATATACTCAGGCATTACGTCCATCACAGCGCGGTACTCACCAGGCTCCATGCCCACCTTAGCTTCCGCGCGAAGTCGAGTTCGCCTGGCGCGTTCGGCGTGGTTTGGTCGTCAGCTGTATCCCGGACTGACGCGTTACGGAAATCCCACCCCCCCACTCCCGACCGGCTACGTGTACCCAACACGGGACTGCGCTCTCCGCTGTGGGCTCAGTCCAAGCCGCTTTCACATCCACGCCTGATTTATGCCTCTGCATTCTCCCTTGTTCACCGCACGTTCGTGTCGTCTGAATCCCACATTACAGGATTATCCAAAATTATCCCCCAAAAAAATACATGAAAAAAAACACGCACACTCTGGGTCACCCCCTTGGTCCCACAAGTCTAAGATGACAAATTAAACATCTCAATCGCAATTGTGTTAACGTGGCTTGTATGGGCCCTGGTGCTAATAATTAAATACCCCCGCTCCCCCTAGACGCGGGGGTGAGGGGGGCCGTTTCGTCTGGATCATCTGGCCCGTGGATCCTGGTGCAATTGCACTGCCTGCACACCCGATAGCTTCGCCAAATCTGAAAGGCCTCTTGTGCAGACCTCCTCTCCTCTCTTCTACCCCCCCCCCCCCAATCTTGACAGCAGTTCTGTCCCACACGGGGGTCCAGACAGAAGGGGTACTTGACCCGAGACTGGATGGGCAGGGAGACAACAGGAGCTGAACGACTCAGCCTCTAACAGACTGTTGGGGCAAGTGCTGTTCACGAGCACCTATCACTCTCCACTGATGGTGTTCGCGGCGCAGTGTGCTACCGCACCTCATCCCTGCACCATAGCCGTATAGAGCAGGTTCAGTGCTGTCAGCGAGCGCCTATTAAGGTTGGAGTGGCGCACGAATATGTTATTTTGTCTTCCCAGTGTTAATGTTTGTACAATTTACCAGGTACTCATTTGAGGCTGAGTCGACTCTGGTTGGGAGGGGGGGGGGGGCTGCCCAGGACCGGTTCATATAATCGTCACTGGTGTTGGCCTTGAGCGGGAATCGAACTCGGGTAACCGGGTTCGTAGCGCAGCGCGCTAACTGCGACACCACCGCTCCCCACCCATACACACACACAAACCCGCATACGCGCACACACGTATACACACATAGAGGCACTGATGGATAATGATGAGGACGTGTGGTGATTGATGATAATGACTGATGACGAGGCTGCTGTAATTTAATAGCATAACCAAAATAGTATTTAAACCCGCCACACACATTCCTTACCTCTACACAGAGGGATTGCTTTGTGTTACTGCGAGTGTTCTCGTTGTTATTTGGAATGCGTGATCGCTTTAATGAATAGTTATTTTAGACGCAATATTTTATCCCACTCCCCCGTTCCGGTTTACTTCGAAGTGAGGGATATAAAAAAGTGAAATTGACTCTATATCCAGTTCCACGCGTGCTGCGGTGGCTAGATGTTAACTACTTCGCTGGGTATACGGGAGGTTTTAGATTCTATCCCGAGCCTGACTCCTGTTGCAGTATATTTGGAGTTTGCATGGTCTGCCCGTGGTCACGTGGATTCTCCTCCGGGTTCTCCGGTTTTCCGCTCCACATTTATAAACATGCGTTTATAGTATTTGGCTGCTATAAATTACCACATGGTAAGCTACTTGGTTGGACTATAATTTGTGGGCCTTATGTCTTACAATAAAAAAAATAGTTATAATAGTTTAGTTTAAACAAATTTGTGAGCGTTCCACATTACCATGTCGAGAATGAGTCAGTTTAAATGATAACCAATGCCGACACTTGTAAAAGAATGATGACAATTCCATAATCCGACGGCCAGCGATCAGTTTATGCGATCCGAGAGCAACGATTAGCTGAGTCAACCGTCCACCCAGTTGGAATTTGAAACTCATGACCCTCCACTTATGAGCGGAGCACGGAGCCTCGCGGGAGGATGTGATGGGATACACGTGGCGTATACACTGTTTCTCAAGTGTCTTATCGTGTGTATGGTATGACAGGCTATCATACACACGTCACGGTAAGTTTACTCTGGGTCACAATCTACGCGGTGTTTTTCCTGCGCTTTAATTTCAGTAATGCGGTAATAGCCAAAACATCAACAAGGCAGAGCGGCGACCAAACAGGCCACTTGAATTAGATTACAGGCCACGGCTGACATCAGTGGCAATTCATATTTCAAACGTTCCTTGCGCCCACCCTCGCACCCCGACCCCACTCTCCCTACTTCAGTAACCGGCGTCATAGAGAGTGTTATACAACTGTGAAGGCGAGGAGCGGTGGCGCAGTGGTTAGCGCACCCCACTACCAACCAGGCGAGCTGAGTTCCATTCCCGGCCGCTGCAAAACATCACCGTTAATGTTAATCAACCAACAAGACCGACTGGGCATTATGGGGACACTTTTTCATGCTTGCAATCAATACAATAGTGGTTTGATTTGTTTATTAATGACATGATTGTATTGACCAGCCGTACCCAATATCGGCTGGTAGATACAAACTTATTAGACTTGGCACAATTCTCATTCGCATTGCCTAATCATATATCGCACGTATTCTATTGTGAAAAGTTGCATGGTGGTGACCCATGGGCATTATGACAAAAACGCAATCGTCAACTACACTGTCTTAAAATACATAAAGTATATATTTGTATGTGCTATGAAGGGTCATTGCCCGAAACGTCACATTTAATGTTAGTTACTTTTCAGGCCGCAACGCTCTTGACGAATGCGTTGAGTTGCTACCGTTAATTCTTAATTATAGACACTTGATGCAGCGATCTTGCTGTGACTGTTCCACCTGAAGACGGATGCTTGTGTTGCCTCCGAAACGTCGTGATTTAATTGTTTTCTTTTATTTTACCTACGTGACTTTATCGGAAAAAAAAACAAAGAGTTTGCTACCGTTAATTGTGCTCGTTCACCGCTGCCAACAACAGCACCAAATCATTCGATTCATTTCCATGCAATTAATCTATAATCGTATAAAATTTAGTAATTATCACCGTTACATTTAGGGACCGCGTCAAATCGAATCTGAGCGGCTGGCGGTGTGTAGCGGAATTGCGTCAAATCGCCGCGGTCCCCGCGTCTCCTCCCGGGAACTCTTCTCCGCAGGCGCCATATTGGAGGCGCTCGCTTCTCCCGCCCCGAGGCCCGCGTCACCAGACACGTTTATAACTTTCGATTTAAATCGTACATCATCATAACAACAACACCAACAACAACCGAGTGATTCGTTAGGAGACGACAACAACCCCCTCCCCTCCCCCTCCTCAGGCCAAGCAGCCGAGAGCCGCGTCTTATCGGTCCAACATGTACATGGACGGGCAGCCGCCGTTCCCGCCTCCGCCCTACGCCGGCCTGAGCGAGAACGCGGCCTCCGAGGTGAGGGGAGGACCCCCCCCCCCCCCGCCGTGGGTGTTTGTCGCGATTTAAAATGTTGTCTCTCGCTTCTAAAGTTAATGAACTGGCGCCTCTGCGGACGGGTGTTGTGATTTGGGCGTGTCGCGTTCATGTAGCTTGTACTGTACGGTACTGTCGACGGTGGCTACCTCGTGATTCTCACAGTGGTTGTTAATACTATACTCAGTATCTATACTCCCTTCGGTAAAGTCACGTAGGTAGGTTGGTCTGTAATACTCTCATGCGATCCCGTATTCATGCCAGAGGACAAAGATTCCCCCCGTGTAGCCTTGACCGACTGTTGAGGCAAGTGCTGTTAGCCGAGTAGCACCTCTGAAGGTCGGCACTGGCACACGAGGTGGGTGAATGGTCAACAGCACGACCGGCCGCCTTTGTCTCCCGAGTGGCGACGCGTACACACCACTGCACCAGGGTACTATTTGAGGCCGAGCCGACCTAGGGGAGGTCCAGGACCCGTTCAGATATTCGTCACTGGTGCTGGCCGTGAGCGGGAAGTGGGAACGTAGCGCCGCACAGCAATCGATTTTGTTGTACAACTTATGTACTCGTAGATACTGTACCGGTATGTGTAGATGGAATGCACGATGCCCATCAATGTTGCAGTTATTGTGGCAAACGTGGAGATACTGTGCAGTAATCCATGAGGCTTAGACATTATTGTGAAATATGATAACGTATAATTGACATATAATTGTGAAATATGTTCATGTAATGGTACTGCTGTGTGTGTGTGTATTACAGTGTGTAATGTATGTACGTACAGTATTACAGCATATGCAGTTGTGGAAATGGCAACTTCCCCCTCCAGATTTGTATCCGGTAATAAAACAGATTTTCGTCCAATCACAGATCTTGGGTTGTGCTTGATTATCTCGTAGCAGTCCTTTCCAAATTTCGCATGAAAGTGGGGGGGGGGTTATCTTTAGTTTTCATGTAGGGCTAGGCCAGGCTGGGTCGGCAACCCAAATAACAAGTGGAGCCATTTTTTCCGAATTGGGTAACAAAAAAACTCAATATATTTCAAGAGCCGCAATGCACGCGAACACGAGACGGTCGTCAATAAATAACGTCAGGAAGTAGAGCCGCAGGTTGCCGACCCCAGCTGTTAGGGGTTAGGGTTAAGCTCTACGGTGTTGGACTCTGGATTCGATTTCAGGTTTAGGGGTTACGTTTTCGGGTTAGGTGTTTGTGTTAGGTACAGTAGTGTCGATGACCGCTTCTCTTGCCCTGCATCTTTGGGAAAACTGCAGTTTCAGGCACAAATGACAGTCCCAGTACTCTGTTTATAGCCTTTGATAATACCATAGCAGAATATAATTGTGTTTTTGCTTTCTTTAAGATTCACTGGACGTGTATGAGGCTCATAGAGCTAAACCAAACTAGCTTAGCATTTCACACGCTGCAATAATGCACACAATGGCCGTTCGTTAATATGTGCTACAGGCGTACTACAAGTGAGGTTTCTAGCACTTTAGATATATGATATTTAGTTAAACTAGGTGACAGCCCATTGAGACTCAAAGCCTCATTCCAGAGAGACCTGAGTCCTACAACGTACATCCTATCTGGTTAGATTTCTCGAGATTCTTGACATCATCTTACTTGGCATAATATAGCATGCATATTCTATTTTAGTAAAAAATAATAATTATGCTTACATACAAGATGCATTCAGTAAAATGACCAAGATTCAAACTATTGCACTACACCTTACCTCTGATTAGCACGGTTGTCTACGTATGGTGCAAAAATAAGTTAAACATGCATACCTACATTGTCAAATAACAGATTTGAAATAAGTAAAAATTAAGCCCTGCTAGTAGTGTTTGCATAAACTTAGCACATTTATTTTTTGGGGGAAAAGAACAACAATTGGGAATTTTTCCCCAGCTTATTTTGGCAGAAACACATTTATGCCGCGAAGAGAATTAGGCTCCGAGTGTTAAGGCTTGCGTCCCAGAATGAAGAATCCGTTTCAGATTAACAAAAGATTATTGGCTTTTCTCCATTTATCATACAAGGACATTTTGTATATAAACAATATGCAATTTGTTTTGTGCAACTCTGTTTTCCTACCGAATGTCACGTGCTCATCTTTGGGATGCTCTTTGGCATAAAATGTATTTAGTGGAAATATGGTTATCGGTGTGCGTTTGTGTTTCAATAACAATGACGCGTTTCGAGTAGGTTGAACATTTGACAGGATGGTGTTTATGTGATGTGTAACATTTACTTGCAGTGCATTACGTCAAGCATGTATATAAAAAAATACACAGGAGGCCTATTATCCGGTGAAAGGGTGTGTTTTGTTTGTATCCATTGTTAAGCTATTGTGCAACGATATTTACGACATTTATTTTCTAAAAGGCTTGCGTACACTTTACGAAGTTTCCAGTTAACTTTTCGGTTTGAATAAGCACCACTTGAATCAAAAGCTTTTTTGTTTGTAAAATAATTCATGTAGATAAAAACTGAATTAGCCTTCCAAAATACGGTATATTATTAGCAAACAAGTAAAAAAAAACATGTATCTGCCCTTTATATTTAATTGAGTAACTTCATTATTGACACGGTTAAAAAGAATAAGTAGAAAATTGACTTCATGGGACAGGCAGATAATATATAATTAAGGAAAATTTCCTTCAGGAAACTACAGTGAAAACAAAATCACCATACATTGTCATTGTTTAAGGTAAGAAAAATCAGATTTTGGAAAATGGTAAGTAACTCAAGTTGTACAGATACATGTTTATGTTAATTAACTAAGTTACATATACTTAATGAAAAGCCAGTGTTTTGTGGGTTCAAATTAATGTTACCGACATGCTTTTCCATGTAATTAACGAAAAGCTGGTTGACAACGTTTAGAATCTGCCTCCTTAGCCACAGTGTTTTTGCATTGCACGGTTGTAATTGTGTGACACGTTTTTATCTCTCCTGCAATAATAAGTTCTCATCGGCTCATCTGAAGCTGAGGGAGCGGCTCCAGAAGACTTTGTATTACGGAAATGACGTCAATCCAAGAATGGAAGGTCTCTCTGGGCCGGTCGCTGGTAAGACCACACCTGCTCATTCAAGTTTCGTGTATGCCCGTTCTTGATCACCTGGGGTAAAATCGAGAAGTGGAGTGGTCTGGATAAAACAAAAACACGGATTGTAAAAAAACCTACGTAAATCATGGGTGGAAATGTTTGTTTTCATTTGAGCATGAAGATGTACAATATGCTATCACTTTTTATTGCTTATTAACCTTATCGATTTACTTGTCAACATGTTTGCTGTCACGTTGGCATGGAGTCATAAATTCCAGGGTTTTAAATTTAGGCACAGCTGATAATTAAACCTGCTTATGAAAAATATTGTGTTTATTGCAAGCATGATTAAGTCCACAAGTTAAGCTGAATAATTTACAGTTAGCCTTTTTATATTCTTGGTTCTTTCGGTAAAGTCACGTAGAAGGGAAACAATAAAATAATAAAAATATAAAACAATAAAATTCTCACGACGTTTCGACTGCAACCCAAGCAATCATCATCAGGTGTGAAAACCACAACATCTTGATGATTGCTTGTGTGGCAGTCGAAACGTCGTGAGAATTTTTTTATTATTATTTTATTGTTTCCCTTCGTGACTTTACCGAAAGAACCAAGAATATGAATTCCTGCAGTCATGAAAGCTTTAAATAAAAAAAGTTAGCCTTTTGTCGTGAAATATTTGTCAATGTCACCAGACTTCCCTGCACATTCTCCTTTGAGATGGGGGATGAGGTATTGTGATAGTATGATGTTTTTAAACTAAAGTCGTACATCTTTGAAAACTTGTGCACATATATTCACAACTTTCTTACTTATAACATGGCCTTTATTTCGCTATATATTTGCACCTCTTCGTTTTTTGTATCAGACTTTAAGGCAGTGATGGCATCACGATACTGATTTCAATAGTACTGATTTAGAATATAATTCTTCCCATTTTCTTTGTGCAGATATTGCTGTGGAGCTGTTCCAGAACGCAGCTCCGAACCCTATGAGAAAGCTGCAGAGAAAGTATGCTTCGCACGTTGCCAGGTAACCTAAGTGGCACCTTAACAAACACACGCCGGCCCTGTTCGCTCGCTCCACCGCAAGCAGCCAGATCTGCCGGTTTATGCCCCTGCCGTCGGCTTGTGCTCAAGACTTGCCCCATAGTTTGGTGAACTAATTATTAACCAAACTCAAAAAGTATTAGGACATTCTCCAGGTATCAATTAACCATTGTGATAATTATTCACTAGCGATTGCAAATAATTTTGCACGTGTGATGTATCACGCCTGCGTCTGGGTTTCATAACAATCATAATTTGTTATTGCCTGTACTTATTTTTTTCCCCTATATTTTATACAACGCAGGTATACAAATCGGTGATTAAAATTTTAATTCAATTAGGTTATCTTGCTAAGTGTAAACTGTGCCCATGTACTCTTCCCACAGCCTGTGGTGCACGATTATCACGGCAAGATAACGCACGGGACATTTTAATGCCATTCCCATAATAAGAACTAATGATGGGTGTCATTTATTAGCATTTTCTGTTTACGCGAACCCTGGTGCGTTTTCTTAACAGTGCGGCGCTTGGCATGGCCCTCTCAAATCCGAGTAAATAAAACAAGTGTTGTGATTTTCTTTTCCAACGGTTTGTAAATGTCGTCAGCACTGGATTGGCCACTTCCTGTTTGCATCACTGCGGCTTTTCAATTCGAGTCACGACGTCGAACTAGAGTGGCCTTGTTTGTCTTTTAAGAACTTGTCCCTTTTGCAGAGCCTTAAATTGCTTATAGACGAGGGCACGCAAAGGTTAATGCAGTGGTACCTTACACTGGGAGTGTTAAAATATACACTGCCTGTTGAGCATTAAGGTTTAAGCATTTCATAAATATTCAACAAGGCAGAAAGAAAGCGTTTATTAGTGATGAGGTGTCCCTTGTGGCGCTGCGCGTGACGTTCACTGCATGTTAAATTGAGCCTGGCAGTCGGCCATTATCAATCCCCTTGTGGGAGAGCGGTGGTGGGAGCGGGTGATGTAGGTTCATTGCTTAATACTGTTTGAGTTTACTTTGAAACTAAATAGTAAGTGCGTAGCCTAATTGGATAAAGTGGTGATTTTACACTGACATAAAATATTCCTCGTATAGAAGAAATAACCATTATTTAAGCATGGTATTTATGAGTCTACTTGTGGAAAGAATAAGATTTTTGGACACTAGTGGCTTGCTCTCTGTTAGACTTCTCGTTATCTTGATTCTTCTATTAAGTACTGTTATTACAGAAACAGTATCCACAGTGGAGTGGAATGGCCATGCAAAAAAAGGGGGCGAATAACCAAGCAAAACAAAATGGTGCTTAAAAAACAGAGCTATGCATGGGAGTGCTGTTGGATCTGTTATGTGCCTGAATGCTTAGTGGTGCAGCAGTACGCCCACTGCACTATCAACCCCATGACCTATATTCGATTCCCGACCAATTGACAGCAATGGTGGCAAGTGATATTTGAACCTGTCCCAGCCTCTCCCCTCCTTTAACTCATCCTCCTTATACAAGTACCTGGTGCATTGTGTCAACGTTAGCACTGGGGAGATAAAGCAACTGCATGTGCGTTGGTCACACTATCCCATTAGTGCACCACACCAACCTTAACAGCTGCTTGCTAACAGCGCTCAGCCCCTAGGGTTGTTAAGAAGGCGAAATGGGGCGTCTGTGTTGTGTGTGTGTGTGTGAGAACAGGGAGGCATGCGTATCCCCATGCGCCATGATGCTGGCAGTCGTGTACATCGAGCGACTCAAGAGACGTAACCCCGAGTACCTCCAGAACATCTCCTCCTCCGACCTCTTTCTCATTTCCATGGTGTGTTTTCTCCCCACCCGCCGCTTTCCCCGCCCTTTCTCCCTCTCTGGCTCCCTCCCTCACCCACCCACCCTTAATAATGTTTATTGAGAACATCTTAAGCCAGCAGCATAAACACAATTATCTCGCGAAATAAATTTAAAACATTTATTTATGAAATTTTATACAGGATAGCTGTGTTTAATCACGTTTACAAGAAGCTCGTTTGCAAGGTGGTTTCGAGGAATGCGGCTTATAAATAGCTGTGTTCGGATCGGTGGACGTGATGCCTTTGGAAAAGGATCGGTGAGGGTTGCCCAGTGTTTTGGCAAGGAATTGGGATTCCTCCTTGGCCTCCCCCTTTCATGAGCTCCCGTGCTCTCTGACTAAAGTTGTTTGTTCGCGTGGTGTGTGGTTCTTATCCTCCAAACCACACATTTTTGTGCACTGTACACAGATGACTCCAAACACTTATTTGCCTTCACTGCTTGGAATTTGGGAGAGGGCACATTGTTTTGAATAGTTTTTTTATGTAATTGACTTATTGATTGTGTTGATCTTGTGATTGAGCAATGTGTTCTAATTAATGGAGTAGTACTTAGCCCCATTTAATTTGTGGTATAATGTTTAATGGCTGCTTGCAGAGTTGTAATGATCGTCCATAAAGTTATGAGCATAGTGGGTGTCATATTCTTGGTTCTTTTGGTAAAGTCACGTAGAAGGGAAACAATAAAATAATAAAAATATAAAACAATACAATTCTCACGATGTTTCGACTGCAACACAAGCAATCATCATCAGGTGTGAAAACCAGAAATGGTTTATCAAATCCTTCCAATGATTGCTAAGCCAGAATCCATCTTCTCGGTGGAAATTGTGTCTGTGTTTGTATATGTGGATAGCCTCATGAACGAATCTCTCATGGTAGCCAGATGGCTTGCAAAGAACCTCTGTCTTAGAGAAGTCAATGTCATGTGAGCCTACTGAATTATAACGGTGATCTGCCACGGCCGAGGTGTTGGTCCTACCGTGTTTTAGGTCTGCTTTGTGTTCATATACAAACACAGAGACAATTTCCACCGAGAAGATGGATTCTGGCTTAGCATTCATTGGAAGGATTTGATAAACCATTTCGGGTCTTAATTGATTGTTCACGCTTATGGTGGCTTTCAGACCGCATCCATTATTTTCGTCTTCCCCCCTCCTCTTTTCCGAACATAGATGGACTCATATTCTTGGTTCTTTCGATAAAGTCACGTAGAAGGGAAACAAAATAATAAAAATATAAAACAATAAAGACGATGGATATTTTTTTATTTTATTGTTTCCCTTCTACGTGACTTTACCGAAAGAACCAAGAATATGAATCCCTGCAGTCACGAAAGCTTTAAATAAAAAAAAATAGATCAACTCGTCCATCTGAATAACTGCCAAATCGCTCTCCGTGGTGCTAACGTTAAAAAAACGCCACTTTTTTCAAATTTTCTTGCTGTGGTTTTCACACCTGATGATGATTGCTTGTGTTGCAGTCGAAACGCCGTGAGAATTTGATTGTTTTATATTTTTATTATTTTATTGTTTCCCTTCTACGTGACTTTACCGAAAGAACCAAGAATATGAATCCCTGCAGTCACGAAATCTTTAAATCAAAATTCATAATGGGTGTGTTTGTGCCGAAAGTCATGAACAACCAGTTCATGTTGGTCGTCAATATTATAATATTGACTCGTGATTATTTTATTGCGTAGCAACATCAAATGAGATGCATGGGGCCTTATTCATACATATCTTCACATTTTCTGACTACTTTCTTGATATTTGAATACTCCATTAATATTTTATACAATTAATATTTAAAGGGGAAAAGTCACTGTGACCTTGCCTTGGTAATTTCTCCATTTTGGTTATCGGTACGTGAAGACAAGATAGCAACAATATCGTTACTTGCTTGCAGTGCTTCTTTCTCTGAGTTTTCTCTTTTGTAATTAAGATATTTCAGAATGGGATGGAGCCCCATGGTGTTGTTATTCACTGCACTATGAACCTGCTGAAATAAGTTGGATTCCAGGCCATGGCTTAAGTCAGTGACGAGCGATATAGGAAACTGTCTTTGTCCCCCCTTCACTGAACCCTCAATGACCAATGTGATGAAGTACGGTCACACAACTCCCATGACTGGCACAGCATTGGCAAGGCCTTCATCCAGCAGTGGATTGACAAATGGACTGTACATTTTACATTTATAGGAAGTTTTGGAAAATATAAGTACGAATAATTTAATGTTCTGGATACTATATGGACCGAAATGTTTGTACCCATTTCATGTAAAGTGGCTATGGTCATGTGAGTAACTTTGATTAAGTCGATGACACCCAAGCTCACGCCTGCATACACACACATGCACATACAGCTGGCACAGAACAACCACGGCAGTAACAAACTTTGGGAGAAGCGACATGAAATAACAACAAGGAAAGCCCAAAGTGAATCCTTTAGTAGAGCAATGCGGGGCTCTGGATAATCTGCACGCTGAGTGATGTGCAGAGATGTGGCTGTCTGTGCTAACTCAGCACTTCTCTCGCTGGCTTGTGAGTGCAAAAACAAGTCCACTGCATGTTTAACATCTGCCATTGTTGTCGAGCATGGCCTGAGCATTTTAGGGATGCTTTGACGGTCGCCCCCCTTTCTCCCATTCTACAGGACTTCCATTTTTTTTCTTTTGCGCCGGCGTGTCGTCTTTGCTTTGCGGTGTGCGTACGGCATCTGTACTCTGCCTCGGCGGCTATCTTTCTTGCTATCAGATGGGGCAGAATTATCGGGGAGTGTTCATGAATTAGGTGCACCCTCGAAATCCCGGCTCAGTGCTTTCCCACGAGAGGCAGATAATGGGGAGGCTTGACTCAAGAATGCGTGTTTATTTGTAGAGGTGCAAGGAAAGATTTCATTCTTACAATCTTGAGAGTTGTATTTGATTTTAACGTGATGTTTTTTTTCAGAAGGAATTTAAGGCAACTGAATTCTTGAGCGAATTTGTCAGAAAACGTTCTTTAAATTGTTTAAATGTTTCTGTTTCATAAATATTTTTTTGCTTTTTTAGGAAAAACAAACTACTGATACGTTCTATGATACGACAATTATACTAATGTATTCTTTAATGTAATTATTAGCGGCACCATATTAAACCGATGTTAATCACGGTGTGTGAATTATACGTGTTATATCCATAGGGCGTGAGTACAGGATAATGAGTACTTCTACACTCATACTTCGTATGCCAATTTCCAACTGTCAAATACCCTTACACACTTGCAATATATGTACATAAATATTGGACTTCCGTTAGATAAGTTGTCGTCTATTTAATTCCCAGTGTTTTTTTCCGGGTGTGTTTTGGAAGTTAAAGTTAAACAAAAAGCTACGTTCAACAAAGCATATGCTTATCACAGTTTTTTTTCCGGTTGCACTTTTTGCACAGAAGGCAAACATTACTGCGGCAACTGGCATAGTTATGTGAGCAGCTCACCGGTGTAACTTTTCATATTAACTTATCGTGAAGTTGGTCAAGTAGCGGAGCGAGCGAGAAATGTCGAAAACTGTAGCTGCAAGTCATTTGCTCTGATCTTTAGGGCAAACGTGAAGCAGTACGTTAGCACTGGGTAAACAGCAGCCCCCCGCCCGCCCCCTGCTTCCATCCTCACCCCGCAGTCCCCCAGTCTCTCTCTACCCCCACCCTTCATCCTCTCCGCCGGTTCCCCTCTCCCGCGCGCCGCAGTGCTGCTTGGCAGCGCTCTGGCTCGAGACAGAGTACCTCTGCTGCCACTCGGCCCACTCCACTCTGTCCCAGGTGCCAGAGGTTGGGTTTGCCTAACCTTGGGCTGAGGGGCTTGACATGTGTCCACTGACTCTTAAGTGGAGCTCTAATAGCATGCAGTTCACAGCCCTGGGAAAACACAACATCATTATTACGTGTGCAAAAAAAACACCCCCACCTCGCAAACCAAATGGTTCCTTGTATCTTTCTTATTTTAGTACTTTAAAGTCCTTTAAAAAAAACTGATCAATTTGATGGCAGGGTTTTTCCATGGCCGAGCAGCAACATGTGATGTGAATTTGTGGTTGCAGCTGTGGCACTTGTGAGAGACAAAAACAAAAAATTTTTGGTTAACAGCAGCCAGCCACATTTTTTTTTAAACATCGAATTGCGATGAACAAAAGTTCTCGGACACGAGCGAGCAGTCATCGACAAATGGACGTGTGCCTCGATCATTGTTTCCGTTTTCACACATCCGCCAAGATCTTAATTTGGCATCGGTTAAAAACCCTTTTATAAACTTTGCACTAGTTCTAAAAAAAAAAAATCCCTTTATCTATTGACAAGACGGCTTCCTGACTTCCAGTGGCTGCTTGGCCAAAGTCTTGTCTCTCGTTTGACCCGCATGTAAACTGCGCGCCTTAAATATCTGCCCCCGCTCCAGAAACAGACATTCTCAAAGAAGCGCCGCGCTAGCACTCCCCTCATGGCTGCCAAGCCAAGGTTGGCCCTCCCTGCCTCTGCTGCCGCCACAGCCTGCTGAGTGCAAGCGAGCCAATTAGGTCTGTTTATAGTTGTAGCCGTACTCCCAAAAATATCCCTACTTGGGAACCTGTCTTGGACTTCCTGCCACGTGGCCTTGTCCGTGCCCCATTGCACAATGTGGTGGTCAGATGTGAACTTCCTCGCCTGGTATACAGGAGGTTGTGGGTTCGATCCCGACCCTGACGCCTGTATATTTGATGTTTGCATGTTCTCGCCGTGGTCGCATGGATTTTTATCCCTAGTCCTCCGGGTTTTCCCTCCACATTTAGAATCGACATTCGTATTGAGTCTTTGGCTGCTATAAATTTCGACATGATAAGGCATTTTGTTGCGTTCTCATTTGTGACCAGGTCACTTATGAAAATTACTATATAGCTCACTGGGACTTACCTGGCAAAAGAAAAAATATTTTTTAGTTTTATTCTTCCTCTGGCTGCCCAAGATCAATGGCACCGCCGTTCTGTTGAGGAGCTGTCTTGTGTTTTACATTTCCTCCGTTGGGCTTAGTCACGTCACCATCGTCCGTCCGTCCCCGTCTGTCCCTGGGCACAAGCTCGCATGGTGTGCTCGTTTCCAGCAAAAGCCTTTCATGTTCTTTGGCCCTTATTTTCTTTGTTGGGAAATTTGCGTTATTAGCGCTGTCGGTTGCACTGACGCTGCAGTAGCCGCTGCTGGTGATGCAGCAATTCATGCCTGCCACAAAAAAGCGAATCAATCACTATAATTTGTTTTTATCACACTGTGAACTATCTCATGAGTATTTTTTTATCCTTAATGATATGGACAGTTCTGTCTGTCCATTAACCTAACTATAGAATAAATATATAAATTGAGTATAATTTACATTGGTCATGAATAACTGATTCCCACACACATTATTTGATGTGTTTATCATGAGTGAAATAATACATTTTAATCACGAATAAATGCATCACTACATGTTTAGTCACAGCCCTTGATGTTTTTGTGCCGTTTCTGCTTATTCCGGCTTCTACAGACAATCAAATCTCTGATTTGTATTATTTAATTTCCATTGCAGTTTATAAACTTGTATTTGTACTCTTGCAACTGTACCGTTATGCATTTTAAATACAATTAGACATGGCTCGGTCCTGGTAGTTTGTGCTGGAGGAGGTCATTGTGAGTGCTGCATGTTTGTAATAAGACGTGCACTTGCGTTTGCGTGTGTGTCTTTGCTCATGCGGTCGTATATGCTCACTTGTCTGTGGTAGTGTTTGCGTGTACACATTTTTAACTTGTGACTGTGTTCTTAATGTATATTTACGTAGTTCCGGTTTGTCGACGACGTATACGTGTGTGTGTGTGTGTGTGCCCAGTAAGCCTGGTTTGAATATTACTCGTGCACGTGAGAAGACCTCGTCTGTAAATTGTTTTGTTCAATGGGTCTACGCAGTCTAAAACCAAATTCCTGCTGGAGGTGTGTTTTGTCAGTGTTGGTTGTTAGTTGGCCCCTCTTGCTCATCATGTGTTGGGCTGCTCACAAAATTTCCAACGAATTATTGCACCATGCAGGCTTTAAAGGGGGAGAAACATACAGGGTGATCAAGTTTACAAATTTCGCGCCGATTTACAATTCATCACTCTTCTTCTCGGCAGCTGATTGAATATTGTGAAATCAAGGGCTTCATATCTTAAAGAGTAGAGTTAAAACGATTTTAAGATGTTTGTTGTGACTAGTGGGAGACGTGTAGAGGCTCTGATATGAAATGTTGTTTTCACTATAGTTTATTCTGATTTCATTAGCAGGGTATCTATAAATGGATCACTCATATCCGCCATGTGTATGCAGTAGTTGGTCCACTGCGCTAAAAACCCAGAAACCTGGCTTCAATACCTGGCCATGGATAACTTATAGCAAGTCTCGTCTGAATATATCTTGGACCTGGAGGTCGACGTAGTCCTAGATGAGTACCTGGTGCGGCGTGTAAACATCGGAGCGGTGCTAGTCCCCCTTGCTAACAGCACCTGTCCTTCTGGTCAGAGTAGCTATTTGAGGATCTTTGTGCATCTGTGTTTGTTCTTGCAGATGGTAGCCAGCAAGTACCTGTACGACGAGGGTGAGGAGGAGGAGGTGTTTAACGATGAATGGGGTACGGCCGGGAAGCTGGACACAGACACGGTCAACGCGCTGGAGATGGCGTTCCTGCAGGCCATTGTGAGTGAGATGCGACGCACTAACCCACACATGCAAGGGACTTGCGCAACACCGCTGCAAGATCACACTTTGGTTTTAACATTCGCGCGGGTGAGTTCACAAAGTGAAAAAATTTGATAAGACATTGCTTCATATTGGTCTGCGAAAAATGTACTGTTCCCTTCCTCCCCACGTCGTGTGTTGGACGCGGTGTGTACAACGTTGTTAGGTGGCTTTCCGTTTGAATAAATGCCAAGCAACAGAGCGATGTGTGAAAACTTAACTCTTCCGCCTGGACACTGACGCAAATGGATGATCGCTCAGAGGACAAAACCTAGAAGTTTTGTATATGGTAATGACGAGACCAGCTTGGCTGTGGTGCTCTAGTTTGTGGTGCCACAGAGAAGAAAATAAATCTTCTCATGCAAGTTGTGACCTAGGCGGGGTTGTGTGGCCGTTTTAATCGTATGACTCAATCCTGAGCACCCCTTTTACAGCACTGTCGTAATTATACAACTCGTTATAATTTGTCTAGACGAGCACATTTTTGGAGGTGAAACTAGAATATCTAAATGACCGTATTGTATAAAAAAAAGGTAATGTGTGATAATAAATAGTGAAGTGAGTCTTTTTAATCAACAACAGATGGACTGTGTTTATCTGACAGGTCACATGTATGCTTCTTTTGATCTTTTGTCGTTTCGTGTTTTTTTCTCTTGTGTACGCTCACATTCTTATTCTCTTCTGCCAGGACTGGGATCTGTTTGTCCGTCCTCACGATTTCTTCGGATTGCTGAGCCGGCTGGAGGGCAGGTATGTGCAGGAAGCGTTGGTCTCGCTTTGAACTCACCTGTGAAACAATCATGCCGCGTACCATACGTGTGAATTTTTTTTTCGCCCCTCTCTGGGCGACGGAATAAATGTCAGGCCACATCCGCATTGATTGACTTGATGCTATCAGCCTCGACATGTCACGCATGCCCCATGGTATTATTATATTTTTTCCTTCTTTTACGCCATCGCCTTAATTAATTTTTTTAAGCGCTTAAGTGGACAGCGTAATATGTGGGGGATTTGAGTCCCGCCGGCTGCTGTTGATGATTCGCGCAGATAAGCCGGCCCTTTGCTGTCTGTCACGACGCTGGTTATCTTTTGCCCTTTGGTATAATTCATTGTCCATCCTACCTGGCGAGAAAGGGGATTTATTTTCGTCCTTTCATCGCGAACACAGAAGCAGACGCGTTGTCGACGTCGCCCTGCTTTGGTGAGGACCGTCAGCTCGGAGGGAGCCGGCCTCGCGACTTGCCGGCGACACTTTCTGTCGGCAAATTGTACGCTGCTTTGGCAGTGCTTGTTGGCCTGTGAAGGAAGTTGCTTCCTGCGTAATTTCAACGACAGCGACTCGCTGAAAATTTACTCCGCGAAAATCCTCGCTGCGAGTCCGCGCGTCGCTTAGCAACCGTTGCCGCGAGCCTTCGAGATAGTTGCGGCCCTTGCGCGAACGTGCCCGGCGAGCCCTGTGGAGCAATGCCCCCCCCCCCCCACCGCCTTTGCCCCCCGTGCGGGCGCATTCCACGCTGCCCCGTCGCCCGTGCGAACACGCTACACACGCGCGCACACACACACACACGAGACTCGTCTTAACCAAATTAAGAGGTTAATTTTTGAAGTGCGTGCTCGGCCATTGTGTAGACGCTGTGACCAAATCTCGGGTGTCCCTTCCCGGTGACTAAGCACATCAGACGGTTCAGGTGTTGGGGCTCTGCTGGCGTGACCTTATCTGAGCTAAGCATCTTCACCCCCCCACCCCCCCCAAATGGCATGTTGTTGCTGTCATTCCATTGGGCTGAGCTTGGGGGGGGGGGGGAAAGGTCTGCTAGAGAGAAGAGAGGACTGGCTGTCTGGGTGTGTGTGGAGGTCACAAGACGGGTGTCTAACTTGCCACGGGGCAGAAGCCCTCCAGGACTTGTGAGACTGAAGAAGTCATTTTACAAAAGGTCCCATGCTGCTCATTTTCCGTGCTCGGGTTTTTACCGCCGTCGCCTCTTCAACGCCATCGCTGCTAAATCTTTAACTTGGTGCCGTTACGCCACTAGCATGAACTGCATCAAAATGGTCGTCGAAAACGTGGAGGTTTTTGTTGTACCAGCGTACGTTCAACATTCTCATTTGCAACCCTTTTTCACGTTCAGATTTCACACATTGTTTAGTATTTCCACACAATCGCTCAGTTGGAATTTTGACAGCTAAAGGTGTAACTTGAGTTGGGTTGAAGCAAGTTGCGTCATCAACGTAAGTGTTGCCTGCAGCACACGCTGCGTGTAGAGCACTGCATGAAATGTTCAAAATACCAGGGCGTTCGCAAGATCAGGATGGATAATTTTACCAAACAGCAGCATGGGAAAATATACGGCTAAAAATTTTAACTTACGCTTAATAATATTTTGGCACTAGAATAGTTCTTAGAACTTCCTCAAACGTTATGCATTTTAAAAATATTATTTTCTTTAACGAAAGTTAATATTTACATGGTCATTTAAACAAAAAAATTCGCTTCATGTAATTCGTGGTCAGCACCGCAAAATATATATTTTTTTACGTTTTACGCTATTTAATTGTTCTCATTTATGACTGAATAACTTGTGTTACCCAGGCCTCTTTGCAGAAGCTGTGAAGACCTTCAGTCTGGTCTCACCGATAGACAATCACATTTGCGCTCATTATGTTACCTTATAAATGCTAATTTACTCATAGATTGTAGCAGTCTGAAATCTAGATTCGCTGACGAGGGGAGTTTCACCCCAGCGGATATTTTACATGAAGAAAAATAAACTGGGTTGTGGCAACCAAATTTTAACTAAACAGTTCATGTGAAACAAGGTTAAAGCAATTTGTAAGAATTATTTTGCAGCTCACGTAGGGAGTTTTATGTCACTAAATTGTGTTTAAAACATGTGCGCTAAACCGAATTACATTGCTTTTCGTGAAAAGGAATACTGGTACTTGAATGCCATGATGCCATTTTCGACCTGACTTCAAATACCTTTTGGGAAAGTGAGTCTTTAGAGAAGCATAGCTACGTGGTCCGGAGGTAATAGCAGTGCACGCAAGGTTATTGTCAGGGTTGGGGAGAAGGCGGGCAACTCGAGGGAAACGTGTCCCAACAGGTGAACAAAGTCCGCTCTTGATTGTTTTGTCTGGCCGAGGAATTACACGTTAAGGAGAAAAGGATACACTGTAACACCCTTAATGCTGTTAAAAGATTACAAGCGATAACAGCAGATTAACTCCTCTAAAAGGCAAGATTATTCGAGTTTGTGCCGCTCGCAGGAAATAATTCTACACCGCACATCAGGGGTGGCATAAACAATGGGAGAGCGCCCATCGTGTTTGCTTAGCTGCAAAATTTTGCTGAATGCAGAGGAGGGGGAAAAAATACAAAAACAAACATTCGCCGAGGCTGTCCCGTGGAAAAAAAGGAAAAGAAAAAGAAACAATTGAATGAATGAATGTGGCTGTTTGCAGGGCACGCGAGCACGGGGATGGTGTAGGATGGCTGTACAGAAGTAGTTCCCCTGTTCATCTTTCGCACGTTTATCAGCGCGGGCAGGGATGCGCATGCACTGGTGTTTGCGTGTGTGCGCATGTTCTCCTCTAATTGCTACTGTTTTGCGGATTCATCACAGCATTCTGCTCGCTCGTCCACTTATTGGCTTCGGCAGTTGCATTTAAGTGGCGATTCCAATGCTCTAACTCTTTTAATAGGACTGTTAAGTTGAAGGTATAGTGCCCTTTTTCCGTTGGAGGAATTGGATTTCTTGTGAGCAAGTTGCTCATGTCACGCATACCGCCAGAAAATTGCTAAACCCATGTGCAAAATACCTTTTGAAAGTGTCATCGCGATGAAGAAATGTAGCCATAACGTCCGCTGTGACGCACGATACAGTTGTGTTGGCTGTGAGTGAGTGAATGCGAATCCCTGTCAGCCTGCCCCCCTTAGTTAATCATTTCAGAAATTTAGCATTCCCTTAAAGCCTACAAACTCAAAAGGGTAAAATTCCTGATGAAATCCTAATGCACACTCTGGTCCTGACCTCGTGAACCACAACACGATATACGATGTGTTGTGAAACGTGCGCTCTTAAGAAATCTACGCGACACTTAGGGCTGATGTGTTTAATAAAGTTTTTAGGGGCAAACCAGCGTGTAATGATTCAGTCCATGACAATTCGATGAGAAGTGATGATTTGGGGTCACGGTTAAATTCAGTAACCGATGTTTTTTCTTTTGCCATTTTGGTAAATGTAACCCGTCTCATCGCGAGATTTAACGTGAGTAACATAGAAGTTGAAAATTAGCGATTTTACGTACTTGCTGCAATGCATTGTATCGTGAGCATGAGAATCGATTTTAATCGATGAATCGATGCATCGTTGTGTGCCTGAAATGTGTAAATGTCCGAGCTCTATGCTCATTAATCTTTTATTGGGCAAGTGCATTGCGTATCCTTGAGAACTTTATTTTTGGCGTGCGCACGCAGTTAGCGCTCTGCACTATAAACCCGGTATTCCGAGTTCGATTCCCGCTGAACCAGTCCTGGGCCTCCCTTAGGCCGACTCAGCCTCAAATGAGTACCTGGTGCAGTGTGTAAACATCGCCACGAGGGAGACAAAGGCGGCCGAGCGTGGTGCTGGCCACCCACCCCCTCGTGTGCTGTGCAGGCCTTTATAGGTGCTCGCTAACAGTACTTGCCCCAAAAGTTTATTCAGGCTATAAGGGGGATCTTTGTCTTGTGCATGCACAACCATTAAATACTCCCCCTGTTTTAAACCCACGTGCATAGTGTTCGGGACTGAGGTCCACGGAGCTTCTGATTCCCACCCCCCCACGCGAACCTTCGCCTCGCGGTTTGTGCTCTGTACTGGGCTCTTTGAAATATAATTTTAAAAATATTAAAAAAACAGCACCCATCTTACACCGCTGTCCGATGTTGTTGTCCCCCACCGTCAGCGTGGCGTGGCAGCAGGGCACGTGGCGGGGCTGGTTCTCCTACATGGACCTGTGTGTGCTGCTGGACCAGACCTCGCTCCGCAGGGCCCTCACGCAGCTCTACCTGCAGTTTGCCAAGGTGGGACGGGCCTGTACCACTCAGGAGCTGAGCTCTATACCAGGGGTTGGGAACCCTTTCCTTGCCGAGGGCTGAATTTTGACTTTCAAATGTCTTTCCGGCGGGTGTGGGGTGCCCGCAAATTGATACACACCTTGACGATATTCAATAAGAGGCCCCGATAAATATATTTTTACTGAGCACGCTAAAATTTGAAACGTGGCAGCCAGGTCAAGAATGTTCACACGTCGTAGATTATTGGTGCGACTAAGATGCTTACAGTGGCCTCCTATTCCCACGGACTGTATACAGTGAAGTTGTAGGCCATGGGTTCCTTACCCCTACTTGACATTGATATGTGGAGATATTTTTTTATTATTTGCGTTCCACACGCACGTTCTAAATGTTTTGTCACCGTCTGCACAGTACAATAAGTGGTGACTCGTCTGATTTACCATAGCCATGTATACGTGTACAATGGAATCGGTTATGAAAAGCCAGAGCGATGATATTAACTGTTTCCACATCAGTTGAATAAATAGTTAATCACAAATTGAACTAAGTTTTGAATGCAGCCTGGTGCTGACCAGTTGCCGAAGAGGTGTTAAAATGATTATAATCTCTTGTAAATTTTTGTTGATTTTTCCTCTTTGCATTCCAACTTTAAATTTCAAAATTGTTTACTCCACCCTGGGATGTTTACTATTCTGATACAAAATCGAAAAAAAACTCAACTTTTTGTCGTTCAATTTTAATGTTTACTTGAAAAATATTTCTGCAGTTCAATTTTTTATCAATGTGACCCAACTACCATAGTTGGCTTCCGAGTGTTAAATATTGTACATTCTCTAATGCACGACACAGCAAACATCTTGATACACAAAGGAAGATAAGTTGCAAAACCATGCAGCTCTCCTGTAGATACCGGTTAGGTTGTGTGTCTTAGCCTGTCTGACATGTGACTGAAGTTGTGTTTATCATGATAAGGTAGACACCACTGCGGTGACATTATAAATGACCGCCGTGATGCCATTGTCAATTCGCTAGACCACTCCTTACACTGACTTTAAAGACTTGCCCTCTGATTAACGAAGCTTCAAACTCAAGTCGGACACCCAGGGGCATGTAGTCTAGATTGTGTCCACACACACACACTCGCATACCTAGAGCTGTTTGATATTTTTGGTTGTTCATTTAAAGCAACCATAAAAATGCGGGTGGTGCGATTGGGATGGTGCAGTGAACCCAGTGACTTAAGTTCGATTCCTTGCCGTGGCTAATACCTGTGGTGAGAATTACCGGAACTGGTCCTGCCACCCCCCCCCCCCCCACTGCTTCACCAACTTGCACTGATCAGCATTGTAAGGTACGGTCAAAACCCCCTCCTGACTTAAAAACACATAGGCATTCGCTCAGCAATGGATTGATAAAAGGCCGAGTGATTATATTTTATTAGAACGTGTGTGTGTGTGTTTTACGTGTGCACGTGTCTGGTTTGTGGAGTTGTCGTGCTCCGTACATGACGGTGCTGTGTCTTTGTGCGCTCGCTCGCTGCACTCGTTTGTGTTTGCATGTTAATGTAGAGAAGAAGAAGAAGAAAGAGGGATCCTTTGTACCCCGCTTGCAGGCCACAACTTGACAGAAACGTGGGAATGCCCAACACTCGCCCTCCTGTGGGGGCAAATAACACAGGTGGCGGATAGATATGTAGATAACGCCTGTCTGTGGCTGTGCATGTCTATCTCGCCATTGAAAGTTGTACGTTCGGAGAGAAGTATTCAAACGTAAATTAAAAACACATCTGATTGCATCTTCGAGTGCAAATAGTTAATGTTTGAGCCTGTCAGGACGATACGTGTATGTTGCCTGCCTGCCGCCGGCCAGTTTGCTGAGGTAGACACAGCGCTTGATGTATGGGGGAATTATTTTACTGGACTAATTTATACGTATGAGCACAAGGATGTGGCTTGCTGATAAATATTGATTCACTTTCGAGGCTGTTTGCTGAGGGCTTGGTAAATTTGTATGAAACTCACCGTGTCTGCAATGTTTTTTCCAGGCAGATTTACGCTGTCACTTCTGTATCATGAGTCTTGTGGGGTTTTTTTTTGTTCAAACAGCGACGCTTATTTATTTAACGTCGTCTTTTTTTTCACCCACATCTTTCTTGAATAACTTGGAATTCTTATGAACAGCGTGCCTGTTGAATTTCAACTTTGTTCTAAAACATTCGTCATCGGTCTGATTCAAGCATTGAGAATTAAGTGTCCAAAGCAGTGTTGACCACTGCATGAAGCAGTTTTTTTTTATATATATCGGTTAGCTATATTTATCTGTAGCTTTGAATTTGTGGATAACTTCAAAGTCGGCAAGCATCCGCAGGAAACGGATGTTTAAATATTACAGTCCTCTGTCGTCATGTCAGATTGCATGTATTCCTCGATTTAAAATCAATTCTTATGCGCACTAAACTTGCATTGTGTATCGTGTGTGGGAATGTGTTGCCCGCAACCTGTGAAAATAATGTGCAAATTATATTTGGGCTAATGGTGGGAACGTGGCTACACATGAGACGCAATAAAAAAATATAAGCAATACGTCATGGTAAAAATCAAACAAGGATGATGATTATTGTTGAATCGACTCACACAACCTTCAATTGTCACAGTTCATCAATTTACTGAGGGATGAATGATTCAATTACTGCTGATTTGCATCGAACTATAGATGGTCGTTCCAACGCACGGTTGTCTGTGCGCACTTTTCATGAATATTAACTCTTCAAGAAAGGAACGCACGGGAGTTCAACTCCAGCAAGAGCCCATTGACTGCGTGTGCTCTTGTTGCGTGTCTGGACAACGTAGCCATCGTGTAACGGTGTCGTAGTGAAGGCAGACGTCGAGGATGACACAATCATACATAGGCATACAGCGACGCATCAATTTTCGGATGAAAATGTATACTTGCGTTCATGAAACGTGAGTTTAAAAACTGATTATTTACAATGTATGATATTGATAATACAGTGTCTTGAGATGCAGTCACATTTAAATGCTATGTAAATTTACATTGTGTCATTATATTTTACATTTATGCTATTGTTGATGGTTAATCCTTTCCCTTCTGAGAACCGAATAGGACTTTGAAATACCTTTGGTAGGTTACACATTAACACTCTTCTTAGCTTTATCTAGTAATACGTTAATTTAGGCTCATCTTTGGCAAAATTATAGATACATTGTGGCCAGTTAAAATGTTTCCCATCTGGAACTGATCAGTGCAGCTAAGATGTTTACAGTGACTGCTAAATAAATATCGTTTGTGGGTAATTTTTAAGTGTGGTCGGATCCTTTGCGCGGTCGTCGGCCGTAAGTTGCGTGCTGTTTGTGTGGCCCGCGGGCTGCAGGTTCCCCCCGCCCCTGGCCTAGCGGGATGTTGTGGCTGACCCCTGTGCGTGCCTCGGCAGGTGGCGTGTCTCTGCGGAGTCGTCTACTTGGCAGGGCTGCTGGGAGTACTGGGCTCGACCGCTGCGCTCCACCGCGCTTTAAGCGCGAGGCAGCAGCAGCAACAGCAGCAGCAGCAGCAACAGCACGGATCCTCCGGGCTTCCCGCCGCCACGGTCCCCACACTTCATCTGGCCGTGCCGGCCCCACCGGGCGTGACCGAGGGAGAGGCCACGGGCATGGCGAGCCCCGCCGTACTTTCCGAACGGCATGGCGCGGCACTCGGCTACCGGGGCCCCACGGTGCTGCTCGCCGGGCAAAGCAGGTTGCCGCGCTTGAGTCCCACGTTGAGAGACCACCACCCCGGCACGGCGGCAGGAGGTGCAGGAGGAGAAGGAATTGTGACCCTGCGGCGGATGACAAATGCACCACCACCTGGAGCGTCTCCGGTGGTGGCAGCGGTAGTCTCGAGTGATACCCCCGGCAACGCCTCTGCTGGCGGCTGGCTGGAGCTCGTGATGGCAGGGGCGGCCCTGCTCTGGCGCCGCCTTTCGGTTGTCCCCGCCGACCTGGCTCTTCCGCAAGGCGACACCGCGGCCACCTTTGCTGCTTCGGCCATCATGTGCCGACCGAGGAACTCGTCCGTGGGGCTGTGGGCCGTGACCAGCAATGGGGCCATGTCAGGCTTGGTGCCGGGCCACAGCGAGGCTGGGAGCGAGGCCACATTGTTAGGTCGTGCTCGTCCGGATTCACTGTCTGTGCGAGTTGACCAAACCGAAGTGGTGATGTTGCCCGCCGGCTGTTTCATGGCAGCCATCCACCGGCCTAACCCCCCGCACCTCCTCAAAGTGTTTTGAGTTCTAAGACCCACAATTGGACTACAGAATTTGATAGTCATAGCTGAGATTTTGAGTTTAGATTTTTGGGTGCAGGTTGGTGGCCTAAAGAGGATGTTGTTGGGAAGTAAAGTATATGTGAAGGCGATAATGAGGTCCCGTTTGCCTTAATACTCTTACCAATGTAGCAAGTTCAGTGTAATGCTGTTACGCTAACATTGAATGGTGATATAATACATAATTTTGATATTCAGTGTACATATGTACAGCAGATTAAACAGACTGCAAGTTTTGTACGAGAATGAAAGTGCATTTCTATTCATCTTGTCTAAACAATTTGTCCACATGTTTTATATATGTGTCCTATGCGTTAAATACGGACAATGAGTTAAACAATATAACGTGCAAGGGTTTTTTTGTTACCCCCCCCCTTTGCACTGTATTTTGACATATTGAGCAAGAAGCTGCTCCAAAGGCAGTGTTTTGAATGTGCAAGTGACTGCGGGTGACCAGGTAGTCGGCTTAGAGATTTTTTGGCAGATGCAGTGCGTGATGAGTTTCGCACACTTCCCCGTGCCCGCCTTTGCCAAATGTCCGGTGAACGCCGCTGCGATGGAGCCAGCGTCGCGCCCAGTGTACCCCACACACACTCGCCCTGTGAACAAAATAGCCATGAGTGGTGAGGTCTTTGTGATGTGTGAGCAGGGGAGGGGAGGGCGGTGATGGTTTTGACATCGTTTGATTTTAAACATCAAGTAACTCCTGTTCAGATAGCTAGGGAAGCGCAGCCAAAGGAAGTACATCTTTGGGTTTGGCATGATCAAATTATCTTGGCATTGTGTTTTAGACCCGTCTTAAGTGATTTCTCAGTCAACAGTGCTTTGGTTTATTGTTCATGCAACAAAGCATGGGTTAAAATGATCCTCATGCTCGGCAAAATATCCGCCGAAGAATTGTTATTTTTGGTCTATAGAAATTGCTTACAGATAATATGCTGAAGTACATTTAGGCCAATGCAGCAATCAAGATACCGGTGCTTACTAGACAATTCCAAGAGAGACGGGTGGAACATTAAAACAACTTGTAAAAATGCCACAGGGATTACAAGACAGACAATAAAAACAAGACACGGTACATGCGGCTAAGTACAGTGAGACAAATTATACAATCCTGAATCGAGTCGCGACCGCAAATCTTGACAATTCGTCATGTTGCTGCTTGTGCGAAGCGATTAGGTGCATTTTATTGCAGTACCTCCTGCATTTATGCTATGGACCCAATGCAAACAGCGCCGTTATCACCCGTTGGTCTCTTGGCCAACACCACAGTGAAGGTACTGATTTTGCTTTGCTGTGGAAAACACGACAATGTTACTTCCCTTTTTACACACAGGGTATAGCAGTAGAGTGCTGCTGCTGCTGCTGCTTTGCATTACATTGTGCATCATGGCATAGCCATAAACCCTGTGTGCTCGGTGCCTCATGTAAGAAGCCTACTTGCACATGTTTGTTGTCAGGCCGTAGAGTTGGTAGTGACCCTGTCCACCAAGCCCGTGGTCCCCGCTGCGCAAGCCACACAGGCAGCAGGAAAGACCTTCACCCAGGACACCGTTCCCTTTGTGGGCGAAATAAAACCGGGGGGTTGCGACGGGTCACGGCACGGTTTTCGCAGTTTGGATTTGGTCAATGGAAGCGGCCACCTCTGCGATTGCACGCCGAGGTAGTTTTCCGCAGAGGCGCGCGCATTATGAAGGGGAATTTGGCCACACAATGTGTCGGTGGGCTTGGTCACCGAGCGCTAAATAAATGAGCGATTTTTTTTTGGGTCCCGTCTCGCCCGCTGCCTATTGAATCGCGCCGGGGTTGTTTTTTGGAGAGGAATGGCAATTTTTCGGTGTTGGTAAAACGTGAAGTCTGGATGCGTTGCAGCACGAATGGTTGACCACGCTTCCCCTACCCTGTGAGCCGAGTACCAAAATATTCATAATGGAATTCGCCTAGGTGGGTCACGTGATGGCAATCATGCTGTCGGTTCACTCGCGCCCAGTGGCTGTGTGGGGGTTTTGAACGTGGAAATCTGCGCGAGTGTCCAGGGAGTATTTGTGTTTGGCTCCGCTTCAAGGGGTCTGGCGCCGTGGCCCACTCCAGCTTGGGCAGATTATTTTTTCCTGTTTCAAAGCTATATCGAAGAGTAAATGAATTGCAGCACGTCCTCCCATCGATCCGCACGCAGCTGATGAGCCACTGTTGGCTCGTCTGATAGAATAGAATTTCATGGCGACGAAGAACGGAGGTTTGGACATGTGGCCTGGTGAATGAAAGGGGGCTCAGGATATGCTGGCAGTCATTTGTGGAGTTGGCAGTGTTGAAACATCTTGAGATTTATGACCGAAGAAATGTGTCCGTAACCAAATTCTCAACCCTTTAGATCTGATGTGAACTATAAAACATTAGAACAGCAGAGTTTTTACTTAAATACAGGAATCCATGTTGCTGGATAAAAAAAAGTGGCTTGATTAAGTAAGAGCACTGATGGGATGCGTTTTTAAAACCGCGGCTGTGTCACGTTAGCAACAGTTGTTAATTCTCAGAATCTCGAGTCGGGCATGGTGGTGGTACGTGTGTGTCAACTCAACTAGCTGCTCACTTCCATTACCTGGTGTGCACCGCAGGGCATAATTTACATGTGGAAGACGCGTTGTACATGGCGGCGTTATTTTGGTGGTTGATGATAATGCTAATGACAAGTCATCTGGCAGGGCCATTCATTCTGAGCGATGGCCTTTGGTAAGATCATACTCATGGCAGGTAAGAGGCTATTTGACACATTCTCATGGCAATAATTGCCTCAACCAGGTTAAGCGGTATAGTCCATGAGGCCCGACCAGATATTTCACATGTTGGTACCACTATTGGTGGCATTACTTTACCGATTCCAATATCCTGTCCAATAACAGTAAATTATGTGATAAACCATTTGCAGTTAGTGCCCTAGCAAATAATTCGCTCCTATTAGCCATATAAATAAAGTTTTGCCACCTTGGATGGTACAAATTACTGCTCTGGCCCTTTGAGGAGTAGAGATCTAGCCTTATCCGCAAATGAATGAATACTTTTGAGAGTTGGATATTCACCAGAAGTCTAGACATTCATCTCTCCCCTCCCCCAACCTGGCAATTCCATGAAAAAAATTATCGTTGGGAATGTAGCGGCCACTATTGACTGCAGGGGTCACATGAACCCATTACATATTAAATAAACGCATAGAAAAAAACGTTATTACACGTGCGCTTGTATGCATCGTTGGCATAGCAATCGCTCGTATACTGAATTACTACACCTCTACTTTGCACACTGCTTGTGTAAGGCAATCAGGAAATTAATTTAAAGGGTTTCTTGAGATGGGCCGGCTCAAGCTAGTTATCGTTTTTTTGTTTCTGCGAATCATGGCGCTAAATTTCGATTTAAAGCTTTCGTGACTGCAGGGATTCATATTCTTGGCTCTTTCGGTGAAGTCACGTTGAAGGGAAATAATAAAAATAAAACAATAAAATTCTCACGACGTTTCGATTGCAACACATTATTTTATCATGGCGTTAAGTTGTAGTTTATTCAAAAGCTTACCAATTTTTGGGGGCAATTGGTGCGATCAGAATACTTAACTTTTTATGAATTCTTGTTTTTTCTCTCGGGAAGAGAGTTTTCATTTGTTTCTGTCGTTGTCCTTCTGGGAAACAACTGTAAAAGACTTTGTAAAACTGAATTGGAAATCTCATTACTAATCTATTTGCGCTGGTTTGGGTGCTCTTCGCTCATTTAGTAGCATTTTATTTGCAGACGCGCACAACTCGCTGGCGTGCATGTTATTAGTGAAGTGCAGAAAACAACGTTTTGGGGTTTTTTTCTAAATGAATAACGATCTAACTACTTTCATAGCATAGCTATTATAGCTATACTTGGTAAGATGGCATGGGTGTGTGTGTGTTGGCTTGGACTGGGAGATGTTAAACTTGCGGTTCGCCTAAAAATCCCGTGATTGACAGCACTAACAATGTCCCATCAGCTTGCTTTAGTTCACATGCCGAACCTTAATTCTGAGAGGTATTTAATGCGGGGCTTACGTTTTTCACATCTATTGATTTAATGCAGCCATCAGGGGTTCACAATAACTTCTGCTGAATCGACGTCCTTTCTCCCAAAGATCTGGATATTGCTCCGGGAAATGTTCTGGTGTGAAAACTTTGCCCCCCTCAAGATTAACAATGGATGGCTTTAGAGGTCCTAATGCTGTTTTAATTAAAGATCTATTTAGCCAAACTTGACTTCTTTCTGTAGGGAAACTCTTAAAGGTCCAGTGTGGAAGTTGTATAATAAGGGGGGTGGGGGGCATAATGCCTTTGCTCGGTAATTGTCTTGTTCTGAAAGGATCTCGCACAGCCCAATATAATGTCTAATAGAGTGTTGTTGCACTTGTGAGCTGCCCCTGCGGTGTCGCCCTGAACTGTTGCATTGTCCAAAGTAAACCTGCCCCATTCATCGTTCCGGGCTCTAATTCTATTACCGGCAGTATGAAATGTGCTCAAGAATGCAGATAATATTGAGCGTTAGCAGTGTGTGGTGACAGCTTTAGGGAATTAAGGGCCCACTGATAAAATGGGGGAGAAAATGGTGTCTTGCTGATTTTGAGCAGAAAATGCTAAAAAGTGTGGAGTTTTACCACGCTCTCTGTGCACCGTGGGCCGGCCGGAGCAGCGATACCAATTGTTGGGGAGTGTGAAAAGAGCGAGGCTGGCTTGTTGGAGCCCCGCAAACAAAAGCCATTACATGCCGTAAGCCTTCCCCCCGGGGTTCGGTGCCTCAATAGCGCGAGGCGTGCGGGGATGTAATGACCTTTGCTGACGCGTCCCCATAATGGGCTGAATTATACACGCCTTGCAGCTGCGCTGCCCCACCGTCACTTTCTCCGCGCGACGGGCCATCAGAAAGTTTTGAGAATGAGATCCGGCGATTTAAGCGTCGCTCAAACCCTATATATGCCAATAGCACTAACTATTGCCGTAATAATTAGTATGTTTGCCATGCCTCTCCCGTTGCATACGTACGCTGGGAAGCGCTGAGAAGTATTCTGAACGTGAGAAACTTTTCGTGTATCGAACACGAGGCACTTTATCCAATTTATCTTGGTTATGCTTGAATTAAACTTGGCCCAGGGTTTAGTTATTCTCGAAAGTACATTGGTTTTTGTGGTAAATTTACTGAATAATAAAATGGATCATCTTTAAAAAGAAAATATGTTTTCATCGTTTTTTTTATTTTATCTTAGCCTGACCTCTATGCGAATATACAGCGATGCCACAATATAACAACACGATATATATTTTTCCTGGCTAAGGCTTTCTGCCAAGAAAACTTTTTTTTTTATTTCTGAGAGAAAATCTTGTCAATTTATTTTGGCTCACCTGTGTCTGTAAAAGCGACATTGTTGAGTTTGCTACCAACTAATATAAGCAAACATTTATAGATGCTTGAAAAAGTACAACATTTATGAATACCAGTTGAGCTGCAAATGTTGGTCGATTAAAATGGTGCAAAGGAAAGAAAAACATGGGTGGAACTATTTTTTTTGCGACGTTCTGGTTGGTAGATCATTGATATTGAGTGTCATGTGCTACATATATTCGCCCTGCCGATAACGATCAGCAGGTAACTTGCACTGTCTGAGCATCTGGGAATTCTCGCACTCGAGACATCGCGGACCAAAAACAAATAAATATAACGAAACGACTCCTGGAAATGTGTAGATGACAAACAGTGTGGTGACTTGAATTTTTTTCAATTTTAAACAACCCTCTGTTAAACTGAGAAATGAATTGGATGTGAAAACGCAAGATAATGCGGTTCATTGTCTGCGAAGAGCATTGGCGGGCAGCCAGGTCCGCAAAGGGGCTGTCACTCAAGGCGAACTTGCTGGCAGCCAGCTCTACTTAGTGTTCCACCATCGCCACCATCGATGTTGCCCCTACCACCACAGCCACCTCCAGCATCACCACCATCAATGCCATTCCTACCAACACAGCGACCTCAACTGCCACCTCCATCATCACCACCATCAATGCCATCTCTACCATCACCGCTACCTCCATCACCACCATCAATCTCATCCCTACCATCATAGCCTCCTCCAGCAACACCATCAATGCCATCTCTACCATCACAGCCACCTCAACCTTCACCGCCATCATCACCACCATCAATGTCATCCCTACCATCACAGCCAACTCCAGCATCACCACCATCAATAACATTCCTACCAACACAGCGACCTCAACCGCCAACTCCATCATCACCACCATCAATGTCATCTCTACCATCACCGCCACCTCCATCATCACCACCATCAATGTCATCCCTACTATCATAGCCACCTCCAGCAACACCATCAATGCCATCTCTACCATCACAGCCACCTCAACCATCACCGCCAACAATGACATTCCTATCAACACAGCGACCTCAACCGCCACCTCCATCATCACCACCATCAATGTCATCCCTACCATCACAGCCACCTCTAGCATCAATGCCATCTCTACCATCACAGCCACCTCAACCATCACCGCCATCAATGCCATCACCATCAATGCCACGCACAGCCACCTCCACCATCATGAGTATCACTACTAATCTACCATCACCACCACTCAACTATCGGTAGTACACTGCCATCATTGCTGTTATTTAATTTGACCGTTCGATTAAACTTTTGATTAGTTTGCTTATTCCTAGCACCCCACTGAATCTAAACACCGCTGGGCCTTTTAAATTCCACGATAGGGGTACGTAAATTAATTTTTCGTGGGATTCCAAGTTTGTTAACTCAATTCTCATAAACATTTTTAATTCCTTCAAGATCTTAGCTCGAAGGTCCTCCAAACTGGTGGCTTGGTCTCATCGCTTTTTGATGGTCATTCTGGCTCCGCTGAGACCACGTTGACCACATCTGAGCACGTTTTCCACTCCTCGCTCATGTCAACACCGGTGTAATCTTGCACGGAAACGCCACATTTTAAGAGAGAAGGCAACGACAATTATACCGCACTGACGTCATTGCAACTGGTGTTCCTTTTTTAAAACGTCTGGTGGTTCTGTGTTTGGCAGTGATGATGCGCGAGCACTTTTAACATGAACACTAACGAAGGGCCATTGCCCGAATCGTCGCCTGTTATATATGTTTTCTAATAAGGCAGCTTTATTGAAACATTTACTGAGTTTACTTTTTTATGTGTGTTGAACTTCTTTCGCACCGTACGTAGCCAACCGCGCCAATCGGAGGTGCGGGTGGAAGGACAGCAAATCAAACACAAGAAGCGGTTCTGAAGAAATCAGTTTTCATTCTTTGATTTAAAGCGCAACTTTGGCGTTGCGGAAAGTTTCCTTCCATTCGTTCTCGGTTTGTCTTTTCTCTCTCAGCGGCGCGTTAAGATCGCGTCGGCACCCCTGGACACGGAAACTTGCTTTGGCTTCATCTCCTTTCAGTAACACTCGCCGGTCCTTCCTGTTATCGTTACGTGTCCTAGAGCGGCAATGTATGACCACAGTGTTCAGTCAATTCGTTAGTCCGCTGCCGAATTCATGCATTCCCACGCCTCGCCGGTTATGGGGGGCTTGTTTGACCGTACTTCATGACGCTGGTCAGCGCAGGCTGCTGAAGGAGGGAAGGGTGGTGGGTTATCCCCGGGACCAGTTCGGATATCACTCGGCCTGGAATGGGAATCAGTTTGGCGGCTTCTTTAGCGGCGTGGTGCGCCACCGACCGCACCCCCGCCACACCGCTTGCGTGTATTGTGTGTCTATAAATACACGGACATTTCAAGCAATGACCCCTCCCCCCCGCCTCCCACAGCCCCATAACCCCCCCCCCCCCCCCGATTCTTCAAGGTCCCCCGCCCACTGCATCTTCACCGTGAGATCCCCTTCAGCAGGGGGTTTTAACGCGTCACACCCCGTCTTGCAACCGGCGATTTCAGGATCACTAATCGGGTACTAGAGGGGCTGGAGTGGGGGGCAGCAGAGTGGACCCCTGGCCTGGCAACAGCGTGTTCCTAATTATAACGCGCTCGGCCACTTCCGACACCGTAATAGGTCTCGTGGTGACAGCAGTGGCCACGGTCTCCTACAATTGAATGTGTGGCCCCACCAAAGCGATGTGAAAGTCCTATTCGGCCCGCGGTAAGAAAATTCCCTCCCCCCACACACCTTGATCTACAATTGCACATTAACTCCATTGGGTTTTATCTTTAAACATCTTCATTTCATCACATTTATTCCTCGCCTCCGATGGAGTACATCTCGGGGCGCCAGAGCAACTGGTGCCTTGGAGACAATGACCACCGCGAGGAAGTGATCACACAGGCCAAGTGCAATGTTCAAAAACAATACAACGGAGACAATACACACAAGGACAAAGATCGCCCGTACAACCTTAACAGACTGTTGGTGCAAGTGCTGTTAGCGAGCACCTATGAAGGCCTGCACGGCACACGAGGGGGTGGGTGGCAAGCACCACGCCCGACCGCCTTTGTCTCCCCAGTGGCGATGTTTACTACACACCGCACCGGGTACTCATTCGAGGCTTACACGAGCTCGGGGAGGCTCAGGACCGGTTCAGATAATCGTCACTGGGTGTTGGCCGTGAGCGGGAATCAAACTTGGGTCGCCGGGTCCGTAGCGTCGCGCACTAACCGCTGCACCACCGCTCTCCCAACAATTTACACAGCGAGCCAGAGGACAAAAGTTGCGCTGGCGTCTTCTCCCATTGTGTTTTTTTTGTCCACTTCGAGTTCTTCATTTCACGTGCACTTGTGCTCGGTGCGCTCAGCCGGAACCGCTGTTCCAGGAATTAAGTTGGGCACGCCGCAGCCATCTCTCTCCTTATATTGTCAACCTATATTATATTTCGAAAACCTGTTCGTGGGTTGATATGAAAATAGTGTAGAGTGTTTGAAGAATATTGTTGATAGGTGTACCTTATACTCTAGTGGTAGTGCCTTACGCAAATTATGCCTCGCAGTATTCAGAATCGTGTTGATAGAGAAATCAAGTCGTGGTTGTACAGTGATTCCTCGATATACGAAGTGGATGCGTTCCTGGAGCTTCGTATATCGCAATCTTTTATATTGAATGACTTATTGCGGCAGTACTATGATGATGCGTTCCCAGCCTTTGTAACTTTACCATTTCATACTATAAACACTTCATAACTTTTTATTTAAAGCTTTCGTGACTGCAGGGATTCATATTCTTGGTTCTTTCGGTAAAGTCACGTAGAAGGGAAACAATAAAATAATAAAAATATAAAACAATAAAATTGTAAAATATTTGTATTATTTTATTGTTTCCCTTCTACGTGACTTTACCGAAAGAACCAAGAATATACTTCATAACTTATCATTCATCTTGTTCGCAAAGACAATTTATATTTAAAACAATATAATTTGCTGTAAGATATTAAAATAATAATAAAAACTGCCACATAAAAGAAACAGTGAAGATACGTAATTTAGTTGTAACTGATATCGTACGAATTCATTATTTACTCATAAATTTCAGTGCATTTCTAAGTTTAATTTATTTCTTAGCTTTATCTGTAAAATAATGGGAACAAAAAACATCTAAACGTAGTGACACTGAAACCTCGTGTATCGAATATACGCATATCGTTGTATTACCACATCTTGATGTAACCCGACGTACGTACGTGTGTTGGTGCGTTAATATGCCGTGTGTCTGTCAACACGATGAAGCGTCCACCCCCACCAGCCCCCCTCCTCCCCTCGCGTAAATATATAAATGTGTCGTCAAACCCGCCACCACCCAACACAGCCAATTAGTAAGGTGTGGCACGTAAACAAAACGTGCCAATTTGCGACTCATCAGCACACACGTGTGTTCGAGAGTTAACCCACAAACATTTGCAATTTCAGTACTGCGACGTTTCGCTGGTGATTGCAACCAGCTTCATCAAGCGATTCGCCAGGATTGTGAAGAAGGCTTCCCCAACCCCCCTCGCCACCCACTCCTCCCCTTAGCCTTGACCATGAATCCCTCCCCACTACCCTCTTGAGCGCTCGTCTCCCCGCATGTGCGGTGGAGACTCGCAATTAGCGACGTAGTTAACATTTCCTTCACGGCAACAGCAGCAGCAACGCTTTACATGAAACAGGAACCGATAGCATCGACGTCTCGTGGGTGGAGGAGAGAGAGAGGGGGGGGGGGTCTATGGCTCCCAGCCCCCCCTCTAGCCCAAGCGAGCCACGTACAGAGTGCATTATCTTTATCTGAAAGAGGATCGCAGTTTGCCGTTCTCACGGATGAAAGGCTCAATGGCAGAAGCCCTAATTCCCCCGGTACTGTATGTGTGCGCGCGCGTCTGTTCGTGCGTGCGTGCGCGAGTGCATGGGAATGGGGAGCCGTTTTAATTGGCCGTGTTTCAGACCAATTTGAAATATGTGGACGAGCTTTTTATCATTCGAGCGATATTTACGCGTGTAAACTACACACACACACACAACACTACATCGGGGTGGAGCGTGGATTGCACAGT